ACTTCTAAACTCCAACCCTGGCTATAATTACTTTTTCATAGAACTGGACCAGCAATAGCCAGGGAAGAGTAGAACAATACAAAGTGAAGACCACCCAATATCTAGAGAAAACAAGTAATTCATGGACCCCCAATGGGCAACAGACTAAATGACTATCAGGAAGAGAATAGCAACCCTTATCATCTCAAAATGATTCCTGGGGCATTTACACGTAGCATAAGTCTAGACTTTAAGGAGACAAGCGAATTTTAAATAAATGGGTACATCATCTGCATAGCAGTATTTTACTGTTATTTGACATGACTACTCAATGTGTTTCTGCAAAAACCATCCCACCATACTGCTAGAATCTAGCAGCTAGACTGACCCAACTCTTCATTTATTATGTCATTCCCTTGCTCAAAAGTCATAACTATTTCCTGCTGAGTAAAAGACAATGTCAAAATGCCCAAATTTTACACTCATGGACTTCCATAATTGAGCTCGATCCTGCCCTCCACTCCCAGTCTTTTTTCACTATTTCTCTTTAGAAACCCTCTTTTTCAGCAAAAGTAGTTTTCTCAGTGTCCCAAAACATGCCATACCATGTGACCTCTGACCTTTCATAAAGATAATATTATCATTGTCCCACTCACATACTTGACTAGGCTACTAGATATGATATTTTTCTTCTGCAGACTCCTAGTGGAAATTCTATTTTTTATATGAATACAAATAATGTTTTTTTTAAAGCAATGTAAGTTTCTTGACATTATTTAAGAAACATCAGTGGTTACAATGGTTTAGTATTGTGTGTACTGAAGATAATAGGAAGAATATCAAGTCTGAGTCATACCTACTTATTTACACTCTACCCTTTAAAATTCACTTGTGGGATTTAGATTATCTTTGATCTATACAATATAATAAAATGTAAAATCAAGTGCCTAACGTGTACAAGAACGACCATTATACTCAAGGTGGTAAGGCACTTTAATCTGTGATGAGAGTTTACTTTATGTTACCAGTTCACATAACTGAACCAGGTTTTCTGTGGGTGTGTTCATTCGATTACACTGTTTAGTTATGGGGAATTCGCACCCGTTGTGCACAAACCTGTAGGTTCCCTTCTAAAGGCTGAACAAAGGTTCATTCATTCATTCCTTTCACAGGCTTCCACTGAGCACTTCTATGTGCCAGGCACTGTGCTGGGTGCTGGATATTCACAGATAAAAGGTGAATATATTATACATAAATAAAAGGTGGCTCTCTCCCAACATTAGTTGAGACAGAGCTAAGATTACCCTCATTACAGTCATATGGCCACTGTCACTCTCCAACCCTACTCCTGGGACAGTTCTACATGATCTCAATATCCTGATAGACGATCCTTCTAAAACACCCAGGTCTCGAATCCTTGACCCTCTCACTTCCAGACAGCTTGTCCTCCACCTTAGCTCAGCTGTGTCCCTGTTTCTCCTCTTATCCAGCTTAGATTCCACAGTCCACTATTATAATCATTCCTTTGAATAGTCCCTTGGTTCCCTTGCCCCTCTAACACTTCATTGTACTTTTCTAAAAAAGGCACAAGCCTTACTTAAATCTAATCTCAACCTATGCCTGTACAAGTGCAGCAGATGAACATGGCTGGAAAAAAATCACACACCTCTGTTAACTGTTCTCACTTCAAATTTATAACCACTCCCCTTGAAAAGACCTTCAATGTCACTCATTGATCTTAATTACCCCAGCACAGTCACTAACCCATTCTCACAGATGGCCATTCCATACCATCCCCTCTCTCTTCACACTTCCCATAACACCTCCCCCATCCTCAGACTTCACTGACAACCTCGTCCCCTAGGTCACTAAGATAATAAAAGCAATAAGAAGAGAATGTCCACAAGTCCCCAGCACATGATCTACCTACCTCCCTGCATCTGTGCTTGTATACACTGCCTTCCCTCCAATTGAAATAGGAGTCGTGCACTCCGATTTTGGACCAACTCCTCCCTTTCACCATTGAGAGTTGGCCACCCTCCTTGTCTCTAATTCCTTTATTCTCATCACATTTTCATGATCAGGACTCCACAGAATGTCCTCTTGTCAAGATCATTAATGACATCCATGTTGCTGTATCCAATAGTCAATATGCAGGCTCTGTCCTTCTTAATCTTTCTGAAGATTTGGACACAGTATACTGCACCTTTCTCCTTGAAACCCTTTCTTTTTCTTGGCTTCCAGGATACCACACTCACCTTGTTTTCCTCCTACCTTGCTGGTGACTCTTTCTTGGTTTCCTTTGTCCCCTTCTCCATCATCTCACTCTTCCTGAGCACTCTCGTCCAGCCTCGTGGTTTGTCATACCATCTCTATGTTGATGACTCTCACATGTCTATCTTCAGCTGAAACCTCTCTTTGAACTCTAGATTTATCTACCCAACTGCCTGCCTGGATGTCCAATATAGGCATCTTGAACTTGACATGTCCAAAATTAAACTCCTGATTTCCACCCCGAAACCTAATTCTTCCCGTTTCAGAAAATGGCACCATATCCTTGAGTCAGCCTTAACTCCTGTTACTAACATCCCCACATCTGATCCACCTGTGAATTATTTGACTCTACCTCTAAAATGTACGTTTTAACACATATTTTAGAATCCACTACCTCCTCCACTGCTACCACCCTGATCCAAGCCACCTTAGTCTCTTGCCCAGCCTCCTAGCTGAGCTCCCAGCTTCTGCCCTGACACTCTTTTAGTTTATTCCCCTCACAGTATCCAGAATGATCTTTTAGAATATAAGCCATTTCTTTATTCATATCCTCCAATAGCTTCCTATTTTTCCCTAAGTAGGAGCCAAAGTCCTGTAATATGGATGAAAGCACTGCTACACAATTTGTCCCACCCACCTGCTGTTAGCTCTCACGTTCTCTTTTCTTTCTCTCCCCTCTTCATCTGGCCAGTCACACTGCTTTCCTTGTGATTCCTGGCTTACCATCTCAGCACTTGCTGTTCTTTGCCTGGAATGGTCTTTCCTCAGACATTTTCTTGATTTTTTTTTCCCTCACCTCCTTCAGGTCCTTGCCCAAATATTACGTTCCCTGAGCTCTCTGTCTAAAGTTAGAACCCTCATCCCCAGCTGCAATCTCTACTGTCTTCTCTCCTTATTCTTCTTCATAGTACTTTCCATAATCTGATACACTACATGGTTTGTGTGTCTGTTCCCCACCCAATAGAATGCAGGCTCCACAAAGGCAGAGAACTTGGTCTCTTTTGCCCACTGTTGTTTTCAGTGCCTAAAGCAGAGTCTGGTGTGTAACGGGCACCTGACAAGTATCTTTGGAATTCATTGCATGAAGGAGATCGTGATGGGGAGTAGAGAGACACCAGCTCTTCAAAGATGTTTAATGGCATGTTGACGAATTTGTACTTTGTTTATAATCAGTTCCACTGTGGTGTTTTCATCAGGGAAGTGATAAGGATCAGATCATACTAGATAGATCACTCTAGCAGCAGGAGAGAGTGAAGGCTGGAGGGGGTAGGACTAGAGCTAAGGGAATAGTTTAGGGGAGCTGTTGGCAGAAATTCAAGCGAGAAAAATTAAAAACCAGAGCAAAGACAATAGCTGTTGACATAAAGAGAAGGGGGACAAATTTGATAGCTATTTAGAGGTAGAATACCCAGACATGGGTGATCACTGTCATCACCAGAAGACATACTGGTGCTTCAACTTTTATCTCTCTGTACAACTTTTATATTTCTGCTCATCGGAAGAAGAGAAATCTCTCTTCTCTCTGCCAGAAACAGGAGGGGAAGAAGGGCCACAGGATTGAAATCAAGACAGGCAAGCACCACAGGTTCTTGTCATTTGTACCAATACTAAAGCCTTTGGGGATTCAGCTGACGGTAATCAGCAAAGATTATGCCAGAACTCACACAGCTAACTCCCTGCCTGTGCTTTCTTCCAAGGCCTGGGAAATAAGCCAGCAGCTGAGTTAGAAAAAAGTATTATTATTCAATAATAATTATCACTTTTTAACTCTTATTATTGTCATAATATTGTGTTAGGGGTTTATAGACATTAATCCTAACATTCACCCCAAAGCTATAAGGTAGATATTGTTACCCTTATTTTACACTGATATTCTAGGACTCAAAGAGGTGAAAGGAGTTGCCCAGCTAGATCTCTGACTTGAAAGGCTATAGCTTCTATACTACACCACAGTTTACATTTATTCATGTGCACCTATTGTTTAGACCCATGACAACCATGTAAGTAGCTCAGAGTGGGTATGTGACTTGCCCAAAGGCACACAGCTAGGAAGAAATAATCTTTAATGATGACTTATTTCTTTTTGTCTTAAGGGGCATTTTCCCCTCCACCTCAAACAAACACCAATGTGTTTATGTCCTCCCAGAAAATATTTATTTCCTCTGTAAGAAGATGAAGATGTGGACTATGACACAGAGGCGGAGAAATGTTATCTCACTAGAGCCAGGGCGGAGCAAGCAGGCAGGTGCAATGCAGAAATAACTTGGACATTTTTGCCTCAGACATGAGAATAAGATTTAAGAGTCAGGTTTAAGATCTTCTGGGCATTCTAGTTATAACTGTCATGAGATTTCCCCATCAACCTCATCTCCTAGTTCTCCAAGGGTCTCTTTTATTTTCCCACTCTACCCTAAGGGAGTTGACCTTCACAGCTGTCTTCCAGAAGTCAACATTCCAGGATATCTCCCGGTCAGGGAGGCATCACTTCCTGCTTTGCTTCTCCTGCCTACTGCGAGTAATCTCCACACCCCTGGAGTCTCCTGGGTGTAAGAGCTCTACTGTCGCAGCTTCCTGGGAGTGAGTGCTTTCTCAAGCCCGTCTTTGCAAAGGTGGGTCTTTTTTTTTTTTTTTTTTGGCAAAATCAGGAGGACAGTGAAATATGTTCTGAGTAGAGACAGTTATGCGAAATCAAGTAGGAAGAGAAGCCAAGAGGGAAGTTGGTGCGTCAGAGAAGAAAAGTGCAGCTGGGCTAGCAGTGAGCCTCTCAAACACAGGAGGGAAGCCTAAGCCTTAACAAGGTAAGAAGAGAATTTCTCTGTGTAAGCCTCCAGTGGAGACCATTATCCCAAGGCTGCTGGAGCAAGAGTATCAGATAACCTCTGACAGCTAAGCTGGGGGTTTCCATGGCAGAGGGGTTATTGGAGAGGGGAGGAATCAGATCACCTGGGGAATCTTTGGGAAAAAACACAAGCTTATCAGCAGCATCCCCCAACCCACACCGGCTCCATTTCTGAATGGGTCCGAAAGAGCCTGGAACAGGGATAGGACTGTAGTAGTGTATATTTTATAGACAGTCTCTGGTGCGTCTGATTTGTTCAGATCCTGGCCTCGGAGCTCAAGTCTCTGTGTTTGCTGCAGCTTCTCCGCTGTTCTTTGCTAGGGAGTGGAAAACCGGAGTTATAACAAGTTGTAGATTTTCTCTAGCTCAGGTGAGGTGCAGTGTGATCACTGAAAACTCTCGGACTTCGGACCTAATCCAGGCAAGGCTGTTATACCCAATGCATCAATCAATTAAGGCTCTGAAAAACGAAGGAATCAATGTCCTAAATATCTAATTGGATAGTTTTCATGACTGCCCCTAACGGAGCTTTGAAAAGTGTGGAACACCAGGCAGATGTAAAATGTGATTAAGTTATGGGGCCAGCATATCAGCTAAGGTAGAGGAGACCTCTATCTTGTTTGGCCTCGGACAAGTCTGGACTTCTAAGTAGAACTGAAATTCTTTCATACATGTAAAATAAAAATAATATCTTGCACAATCTTCCTTTCTGGGTCAACAAGGGTACCTCACACAGTAAAAAATGCTCTACAAAAGTTTGTTCACATGGCATTTGTTGCTCGATGTTTCTTGAGCATCTACTATGTGCCAGGCACTGTCCTTGGCACTAGAGACACAGCACTGGCAAGGACTCTGGTCCAGTCCCTGACACTCTCAGTCTAGTTACAGTTTGTTATGTGGACATTTTTGCCCAGGTGCTTCACTCCCCAGGTTTCCCAGGTCTATGGGCCATTCATGAGGATGCTGGTTTCCCCAACCCAGCTTCGCATCTCTCTGCGCAAGTTATCTTTTGTCATCTCTAATTTCCAGTTGCAGGGTCACAATCTCACTGGGAAATCTCAGTTAAGAATGTTCTGAGTGGCTGGAATCCAGCCTTCTTAAATTGATATATTGGGTTTTTTTCTCAGCATTCCCCATTTTGTTTCTAAAAGGCTACACAGTACCAATTTGGGAGACACCTACAATTCAGCCCTCTGTAAGCAGGATGCTGCACGAGGTCACCCATCCTGGTGCCTTGGTGGTCCCTGTGGCTAACATAGGTTCTCCCTTATCACCACCCCTTTGGTGATGTTTTCAAGATCCTAAAGTTATTACTCTTCAGTGATGGCCTGTCCTTTGTGTTCTAAGATGATACCACTTACTCATCACTGGGGCAACATGTTTTTAAGTTATTTTGGGGGATGGAAAGATGGGATTTGCTGAGGTTTTTGTTTTGTTTTTTGCTTTTGCTTTGTCTACCTAGTAACTGGTAACTGAGCTAATTAGAAGAAGATAGCCTGTTACCCTGCAGCAATAGGTCTTTTATTTCTTTTTAACAAATATTTTCTAAAAATCATTTTCATAGCATTCCCCCACCCAGTTTTTTTTTTTTTTTTTTTTTTTGAGACAGAGTCTCACTCTTTTGCCTGGGCTAGAGTGAGTGCCGTGGCGTCAGCCTAGCTCACAGCAACCTCAAACTCCTGGGTTCAAGCGATCCTACTGCCTCAGCCTCCCGAGTAGCTGGGACTACAGGCATGCGCCACCATGCCCGGCTAGTTTTTTCTATATATTTTTAGTTGTCCGATTAATTTCTTTCTCTTTTTAGTAGAGACGGGGTCTCGCTCTTGCTCAGGCTGGTCTCGAACTCCTGAGCTCAAACAATCCGCCCGCCTCGGCCTCCCAGAGTGCTAGGATTACAGGTGTGAGCCACCTCGCCCGGCCTCCCTCACCCAGTTTTAATTAATACATGCTCAATGTAGAAACTATTTTTTGAAGGTTAACTGTACCATATTGTATCAAACCTAAGCCTCTGACTTTATTAATAGCTTGCTCCCTGCAACTGAGACAGTGTTGGTTATGTGCTCAATCCACAACAAAATCACCTCAATTTTAATAACTGATGCTAAAGATTGTCCATGTGCATTTCAGAAAAGGGTAAGTTTCAGATTCTTGCAAGTGCTCATTTGGTTACTACTTTCTAGCAATGACTATGCCTCTTCCTACATGCAATTACTTACTGACTTAGTCATTTATTCAAGAGGTGTTTAATGAGCCCCGATCACGTGTAGAATGGTCATGTACCTGTCAGCAAGATATGACATAGCCGTTCCCTAAGTTGTAGCGGCCCAGTGGGAAGAGACATTCATATACAGCTGTTTACTATAAGTTGGGGTGTTAATGGAAAGTTTGGGGAACAAATAAATCCTGGGAGGAAGGGAGATAAATTTGTTAGGGGAGAAGGTGACCTATGGAAAGACTCTTAAAGGAAGAGTGGCAGTCTTGCAAATGTCTCAGGGCTTTCAAATAACAGGGCAAGTCTGGAAGAACTGAAAGTTAGGTCTGGAGCCTAATGTACTTAAAAAGGAGAGGACCGACACGAAATCAAAGACCAGACCATGGAGGACAATTGGTGGAAGGCCTGGGGATTTTGGTTTGACACTGTGTATGTTGGAAAGTTATCGGAGGATTTTAAGCAGAGGAGTGACAAATGTGTGCTAAGATCGATTTGGGCAGCAGTGGATAATGGGGAGATGCTGAGAGAGAGAAGAGAAAGGCTACTGTCAAAGGTCATCCTGGAGATGAGCAACTGGGAGTTCTGGAAATGGGAGAATGGAATTCAAGGATGCAATGGAAAGAGCCTCCTTCAATTGAGCACACTGGTGACTTGCGTCGCCTCACTTCTTCCGGGGCCTCAAGAGCCTCTGCCTCTACTACTGATTATAGTCTTTGCAGACATAAGCTTTGCCCAGGACACACCCTAAAGTATTCCCTGGCTGTCTGGTCAGTCCCATCACATGTTCCCTAGTCCAGGAAGTGCTACAGCCCAGTGGCAAGGGATAGGACTTGCTTTGTAAGAGCATGCCTTTTCTAGCTGGGGAGAGTGCTCATGGAAAGAAAAAGAAGCCAGAGGGTTTCCATGGGAACTGCGGACAGCTAAAACCTGAGAACAACTGGGTGGGGGAGACAGATTTAGGAGGCCCAGCTCCAGCTCGGGGAAGGAATGGGCTTGAGGCCAGAAGCAGTTGGCAGGCTAGGAGGGCACAGAGCCATGGAGACCTGCACAGGACGCAGAATTGGCCAAAAGCCAGATGGAGGGAGGAAGGGAGGGTGGGGGGAACTTTGAAAGGTCTACTTTCCTAATCCCTAGGAAATGTTAGCTTTTTCCTGAAGTGATTATAGGCCCTGTTTATAAAATTCTATCACAGTTTCCTTATAATTGTACACAGGTTAAGTCCTTCTCTTCTTATTTTCCTGTCTCTTTTGCTCCATTGTTTCCTATCTTTGTTCCAAACTTCTTCTCGTATTTACATTGCCCTTAGGAGAAGTTCTCTTGCCTAACTCATCTCTTTAGTCTTTGAGGGAGGGTTGGGGGATATTCTTGGGCCATTATGAAGAATAGCCTAGTTTCTAATCATTTCCTCTTGGACTCAAATTTCAAGAACTAGAATAATATCTTAGCTGATCTTATTCTAATCTACAGAGCCAAGACTACAAGGCAGGAATTACCACTCATTGACTTTTCCCTGCCACACAGTGAAGTGGTTCTTGGCCAATAAGGAGAGATGATCCTTACTGTATGTTTTTGGCACATCCAGAGGAAAAGCTTTGTTGTTACAAATGGAAGAGAAGGGGTTTTTCTACCACTGCCATCCAAGGTTTGGCTTGAGTCACAATATACTTCCCAGAAGGTTCAGGGGACTTCCAAAGAAAGCCCACGAGCTGGCAAAGCATGTTCTACCTTCTCAGGAAGAAAGCTATCATATCAACTCTGAGAGTCACATCTGTGGCTGCCCAATTTCTCCTCTGAAATCCACTCTCTAATACCTCTGGAGCTCTGGACATAGAGAATGGTTTATGACCAGTATGTAGGCTGCCTGGGCAACAGATACCGAAGTTACACACGCACATACTCTTTGACTCAGCAATTCCACTTCTGCGCATTTATCTTACATACATGTGCAATGGTGTGTGAACATAAAGGTCATTATTGAAGTCTTTGAAATGGCAAAAGATTGGAAACAACCCAAAAGCCTATCAATGAGAAAACTGGTTAAATGAATTGTGGTATATCAATACAATAATTCGTTGAAGTAAAAAGAAATCAGGAAATGTTTTATGTACTGTCCTGGAAAGGTCCCCAAGACACATTGACAGTTTAAAAAAAAAAAAAAAAAAAAAGCAAGGGTGCAACATGGTATGGATAACTTGCTATTTTTTGTGTTTTAAAGCGGGAAAAAATTAAGAATACATATACCTTTGAATTTTCTTGTATATACATAAAGCATAAAGCAACGGAAAGGACACATAAAAAATGAACTCAGTTGCTATCTGGGACAAGTTGAGAAATGGGCAGAGGGAGGACAGGTGTTGAAGGTAGACTTTTCACTGTATACTGAAGACAAAACACCAGCTAGTAGATAAATACTGGCTGTTAGTAAATAGAGAAGAGGTTACTGATTTAGCAGCTAGAGAAATCCTTAGGTTTTCCCCTGGAAGAAATACTGTCACTCCTTTAAAGACATGTCATTAACCCTGTTTACAAAGAGCTCTGTACGTTTTCTCACTTCTGACTACAGGCCCTTCACAGACATAATTAGTCGTCATAAAATTTCCCCTTCGCTGTCACAGATGTTAAAGACCTGGGATGTGTAAGTCTGGGCTGCAGGCTGGCAAACACTCCTCCATTTTCCTTCCTGCATGTGGAATCTTAAAAAAGCCTTATTTTATTTTATTTTATTTTGCTTTTATTTGTTTACTGTTTTTTGAGACAGGGTCTTGTTCTGTTTCCCAGGCTGGAATGCAGTGGCACCCATAGCTCACTGCAGCCTCAAACTCCTGGGATCAAGTGATCCTCCTGCCTCAGTCTCCCAAGTAGCTGGGACTACAGTTGTGTGTCACCACACCTGGCTAACTTTTCTATTTTTTGTAGAGATGGAGTCTCACTCTTGCTTAGGCCAGTCTCGAATTCCTAGTATCAAGTGATCCTCCCACCTCGCCCTCCCAAAGTGCTAGGATTACAGGCATGAGCCACTGCACCCGACCCAGAAAGCCTTACTTTAAATTCCGAGACCACAGACACTTTTCAAAACAATTTGAACCCTGTGACTATTATCTATTAAAACGTTTTTAAGAAATTGGTGATAAGACCTGCCACCAGGAAAATAGCAGACCCCAAATACACCTCCTATTAATGTCTGGAAATACAGTCTCTCTTTTGTTTAAAGATGAGACAGAGACTTTCTTGGGTACATAGTAATACATAAATTAGCACCTTGCTACTATTAATATTTAGACTATGTGTAATAGCTATTATATCTCTCAACAGTTATGTCAGGAGGTCACCCAAAATGATTCAAAGTCATGTGAGAAGGAGGGTTAACATTTATCTTGGAATAATACTCTAGCATGGCACTGGGAACTGTAGTCTTTTCACACGAAGCAAGTCCTGACTGAAGGGAATAAGTTCAGGGTCGCCGCCAGTCAGTATGAGCCTTAGTGTGGATTACAAAGTGGAACTCCTTTCTCTAGATATTTAACATCTAACAACTGGAAAACCATCTTAATACACCTATTTTGTTGGACTAAGATACTTTACTGTCACCTATAGAATGTGTTTTTATAAATATCTAAATTCTTGAGATGGCATTTCCTAGGGTTGTGCAATACACAACTTGCCCAACCATACTGAGCAGCCCTGAGTAGGTCATGTGCAGTGGCCAAGTATTTCTCAAGCAGCAGCACAGTAGCCAACAGGCCACAAGTGTCATTATTGATAGTGATGTAGCTCTGAGGCCCGAAGCTCTTAGGTGGGCTTGCCACCCTTGCGTAGAGTCAGCAGGTGAGGAGAAAATGATTCAGCTCAAATAGATTCCAGTAGTGTGTGACCTACACAGACACAGGCCAGCATTGTATCAGCTCCCCATGTTTCTGGTCCCACAGGATGGGACCAAACCAGAGGGGACCAGATGACAGGTGCCATGAGCAGTTGACTCCACCACTTGGCTGTGTTTTATAGCCTGCAGCCCTATCCTTGGGGGGACTGAAGTGGAAAGTCCTGTGCTTAATTGCAATGGGGGAAGGGAATAAGAAATGGCCTTGAGGTAGTCTTCCTCAAGATGGGGGGTGCTGTGAGCAATGGCCTCGAGGCAGTTCCTCACTAGATAGCTTATCTCCCTTAGTTTCTGGAGGAATCACAAGGCATTCAACCAAGACTTGGACCAGACTGAAGTTAAGCTTTGCCCACCTGGCCTTTGTGCATTCATGCTCATCACCAGGGTGCCATGGTGAAGCCACTACCCTATGTTTATTAAATATGGCTGAGTCCAATGGACAAGAAAGACTAGGAGGGAGGAATGAAAGCCCCTAAAATAAATAGAACTTATTGACACCCTAACTGCAAGGGACAGGAAATGAACTAGAGAGGGATGTGTGCAGTTGGTTGCAGGAATGTTCAGACCTTCTATCTTGCTCCTTGGTGGGGGTCAGGAGGAAGGTGGCTATGTCTAGAAAAGGAATGGAAGGCAGACACTACAATAGCAGCCTAACTCAGCCTCTTCTGCTTCTTCCTTAAAGGTTGTCTACTTCGGCACAATGCTGTTTCCCAAAAAAGTGAGGCTACTGCTGCTCCTGCTTTTCCACATAGTGATCTTCGCTCTGTTCTTCCATATGTACATCCACAGTGTCAGCTCCCTGCCCAGGAAGGAGGAGCCGAAGCGCATGCACGTGCTGGTCCTGTCTTCATGGCGCTCTGGCTCTTCTTTTGTGGGGCAGCTTTTTGGGCAGCACCCAGATGTCTTCTACCTGATGGAGCCTGCCTGGCATGTGTGGATGTCCTTCACAGACAGCACAGCCCAGAGACTGCACATGGCTGTGCGGGACCTGATACGGTCAGTCTTTCTGTGTGACATGAGTACCTTTGATGCCTACATGAAACCTGGTCCCCGGAGACAGTCCAGCCTCTTCCAGTGGGGTGTCAGCCGAGCCCTGTGTTCTCCACCTGCCTGCAACATCTTCCCACGGGACAAGATCATCCCACAGGCTCAATGCAAACTCCTGTGCAATCGACAGCCCTTTGAGGTGGTGGAGAAGGCCTGCCACTCCTACAGCCATGTGGTGCTCAAGGAGGTACGCTTCTTCAACCTGCATTCCCTCTACCCACTGCTGACAGACCCTTCCCTCAACCTACACATTGTGCACCTGGTCCGGGACCCCCGGGCTGTGTTCCGTTCCCGAGAACGAACTGAGGGGGAACTCATGATTGACAGTCGCATTGTGCTGGGACCGAGTTGGCACAAACTCAAGAAGGAGGATCAGCCCTACCACGTGATGCAGGTCATCTGCCAAAGCCAGCTGGAGATCTACAAGGCCATCCAGTCCTTGCCCAAAGCCCTGCAGCAACGCTACCTGCTCATGCGCTATGAGGACCTTGTCCGGGCCCCTCTGACCCAGACGTCCCGAATGTATGAATATGTGGGGTTGAAATTCTTGCCCCATCTCCAGACCTGGGTGCACAATCTCACCCAAGGCAAGGGCATGGGTCAGCATGCCTTCCACACAAATGCCAGGAACGCCCTCAACGTCTCCCAGGCTTGGCGCTGGACTCTGCCTTTTGGAAAGGTTTCTCAACTTCAAAAAGTCTGTGGTGATATAATGAATTTGCTGGGCTACCGCCATGTCAGCTCTGAACAAGAGCAGAGAAACCTGTCACTGGATCTTCTGTCTACCTGGACCCTCTCTGAAGAAAAACTACCAGGAGGGCTGAGGAGGTACTAGCCTCATCCACCTTCAGTGAATGCTTCTGAGCCTTAACTTTGTCTCTGTTGAGCATGAGTTGTGGCCACACACTCAAGCAGAAGAATCTTTGTGTCCATACTCAGGCCTAGACTCAGCAACCTCATGTGGGCAGCACATCCCAGCAATGCGACAGGGGTATTGGCTTTCTCCTCTTCTTGAGTTCCTATCTGTGCCTACTCGGGAGACTTTGTGGCCTAGAGGCCTGTTAGGCCCCAAGCAGTATCAGTGGAGTAAATCCATAAACCTCCCTGTCCACATCTCGCCCAAAGGGAAAGTGGAGAGACAGTAAAAACCAGGGAAATGGGTCTGTCACCAAAGAGCCCCCCCAGCACATTCCACAGAGATGTGAACTCTGAGCCCTCGGGGTCCCCAGTGGATTCAAGGAAGGAAGCAGACACAGGGTTGGATGCTTACCTGTGAGCCTGTCCATTACAGCTATGGGTTATCACGAACAAACACAAAACAAAATCTCTGGACAGCAGAATGAGCTCTTAAGATCATGGGCCTGATTTGAACATCATTTCCCCTCAGCATTTTCCTATCACATAGAAGACTTTGACCTCTGAGACTACTGTCCATTAATATTAATATGCCAAAATAAGATTCTGTTTGGAATGTCCCCTTTTGTGATTTCTCATTACTAGGAGTAAACACTCATGGGATCCAAACCTAAGAACTCATACAATCATCTTTATGGATTTTTTATACCTTTGCTATTATCTGTTACCTGCATACAAAAAAAATTGCTAAGACAGTGTTTGGTGTCAGGTGAGGAACTGTCTATATCCTCTTAAGAACTGGTAGAAACTAGACAACCAGCAACTGAACCATTTCTTTGTTGTATGAGGCATAAGTTGTAATAATGCCATATGCATCACCCTAGGGTCTGGGCAGTGCTCTTGTACTCTGAGCCCTCAGCCAAAGGGCCTCAGTTCTAGTGTGACTAGTGCTATTTACCTCCTAATCACCTCCCTTAGTAAGAAAAGTTGTTTCTCCCAGTCTCGGCAGGAGACCCTCACCTAGTTGTACCCAGAATCATCTGTTAAAAATGCAGATTGCCATGCGCTAGTGCAAATCTGCTGCAGTCAGAAACCCCCAGTCTGGGGGCTGGGATTCTCTATGTTCATCAAGCTACTCTCACCCTGCACTGGGCAGCAACACTGTTCACCTTCTTGCTCCAAGACAGGTGACTTTTCAGCACATGCAGAGAATGTATGCCATTTCTGCCACCTGTGCTGTCCTCAGGTTGGAAAGAATAGGAAGAAGGTCCATATATGTCTGGAACTCCGTGAACATCTGAGTCGTGACTTTTTTAATATCTCGCTTTGTCCAAACCTGAGAGATTCTGTCGGTTCCTCTTTCATTTTTTTCCCCACCTTTTGGCATGCTTCTCACTCCATAAAACTTCCTCAATGTCAGATCAGAATTCCCCCACTCGATTCTGCTGAGGAGGGCCTGAGCTTCTCCACCATCTGAGATACTTGAGTACCTACCTTTCCCAGCAGGGTCTGCTGAAGTTCATTTACATGTGGCTTTAAAGGAGCTAATTTATTCTAACGTCCAAATCCAAGCCACTCTAGGAACTCCTCCAGAGCGTAGGATCTCCCAGGCTTGCCTCTACTAACTTTCCAAAACAATGTGACAGTAAAATTTCCCCAGCGTTGAAAATAAGGCTGGAGCAGCAGATGATGGTGTGACTGAGGGATCAGTGATAGAATCAACCATCTCTGCCTCTGCCTGAATTGTTTTAAAGTTAGCAGCCTCCTTAGGAACCAACTCTATGTGATGCCTGCTTGTCCTTCTCCAAAATAAGAAAAGAGACTAGCCACATGGAAGTCTCAGGATCTTATTTAGCAGCCACTTTACAACAGGTTTAAGTTTCCTGTATTCCAAGTCCTAGATGTCCAAGGAAGCCCCGCATCCAAGAACTGCACTCTTGAAGAAGAGTCTATCTGTGCTCTCCAATAGAATAGCCACTAGCCACTGGTAGCTGTTTAGATTTAAATTAATTAAAATTAAATAAAAATTCAGTTCCTCAGTCACACTAGCCACATTTCAAGTGCTCAGTGGCCATGTGTGCCTGGCAGCTACTGTATTGGATGGCACAGATATAGATCCTTCCCATGATTGCAAAAGTTCTATTGGACAGCTCTGGTCTAATTCATTTTTATTTGTGTAACATCTTACTCCTAACTTCAAACCACCCCCCAACCCAAAAAAGTTTACAGAATATGTAACAATACTATCATGACATTTTGATATAACATAAGACTGTGTAGTAGAAAATCATGCTATATGACCTCTTTAAAAATCTGACCCAGTGTTGAACAAGACTCCAGTGAACAATGGCACAGTTTTTGACAAGTGATGTGTTCAGGTAGCTGGCACTGGGATTCAGGATGAGTGACAGTACACTCAATTGCGGCATACGGGGAGTTTGAGGAACTGAGAACCGCCGTAGAAGATGGTGTTCTGCTAGACATCCTTTCTGATTTGGAGATATGTGTTCCATCCCCAAGCCCGAGCAATAGATAGGCATTTCTTTGCGTCCTTAGCCTCTTTAGTTGCAAAGGGTTGAAGAATATCTTTAAACTTAGATCATGGATGAATTTGATCTAAATTTCTCAGGGCTAATGAGCTCTCTCAAGTCTAGAGTAAACATAGCCTGAAATGCCTAATTGCAGGTCAGCAATCGATGTCTTTACAAAAAGCCAAACCGGGCACTACTCCAAGCCCTACAGTTTTGGAAGGGTGCAAAGAAAGAGGTCCCAAAATTTCAAAATAAATTTTTTGGACAGTGAGAAAGGAATAGTTTTAAAACAAAGGAGCTTCAACTGTAATTTAACTGTGTTTCTATTTATGGTTACCATGTGGCTTCATTTTGTATACAATGAGAGAAAATGCTAAGTTTTGATACATTTCAATTAAAACTATATTCTTTTTCAACTTATAAATAGTGGTTAGGGAGAGGTAGAATCAATTTCTGATAATTTTTGCACAAAAATGTGCCATTGTATTTTCTGTAATATGTTTCTCAAAAAATAGTTTATAATTTACTATGTGACTTAAACCCAAGCTAAATATAAATTAATTTCACTGACCATATAATCACGATTCTTTTGAGGGAGCAAACAATGAACGTATGTCAGATGCTCAGTCCTATTAATATAAGGAAGAATAAAGCAGAGGAAGGGGCTTGGGGGTGAAAGAGGGTGCTGCTCTACAGAGGTGACAAGAGACGTCTTGCCTGAGAAAGTGAGACTGGAGCAGAGACCCTTGAAGTAAGGGAGCGTGCCATGCGGAGATCTGGGGGCAGAGTGCCCCAGTAAATGCCAGTGTCAACACGGACAGAATCAATAAGGGCATAATGAGAACCTATTGCGTGCTTGGTACTGCACTAATAATAAGAAAGGAGTATACTGCTTATCAAGAGGTCCCCGGTAAAAAAAAAAAAAAGGAGTATAAATGTTACAGTAAGGACAGCATGACAGGTCATGTGCTCATGAGCGCTTGGGCACTGGAATCGTGCTGCATGGGTGGCTCCACCATTACCAGAGAGGTGACCTCAGGCAAGTTCCTCAACATCTCCAGGTCTCAGTTCCCTTGAGTTATCTGTGAATATCATGGAAATAAGACGTGTCCACCATTTCTGATATCAAACCCTTTATGGCATTTCCGACCATACTGATATGATTAAGAGACTGATACTTTCTGATGTAGGTTCTTTACATCAGTGGTTCTCAACCAGAGGCAATTTTGTCCCCCAGGAAACATTTGGCAATGTCTGGAAACTTTTTTTGTATTTTATTTTTAATTGCTAAATATTGCATATATTTCTCTGGAGACATTTTTGATTGTCACAGTTGGGGAGTAGGGGGTGTGACACTACTGGCATCTAGTGAGTAGGGGCCTGGGATGCTGTTAAACATCCTACAATTCGCAGAGCATTTCCTACAACAAAGAATTCTCTGGTCCAAAATGTCAGTAGTGTGGCTGTTGAGAAACCCTACTCTACATCAACCAGGGATAAGGGTAAAGAGTTGGTGATTCAGATGGATTTCTCTTCCATCTCATTCAATCCCCTTCAAATGGGTAACCACCAGGCCAAATGTCCTGAATGGGGAGATGTCATAACCAGGGCTTTTTTGGTATCCACTGTTTTGGTAGCCATCTCCAGAGGAGAGTGGCAGAGTAGATGTTATAAAAACACAAAGCTGCGTAACAGGAGGTGACGAGAGAAGAGCATGAGGACAGGAAATGAAGTGCAGCCAGACCTCCTGGGACCAGTTACTTACTGGCCAGTCTGTGCCTTCCCTGAGCATGGCCCGTGGCCACCCTAATTCAGGCAGCTGTGGCCAGAAGAGAAAAGGGTTTAAAGGGGCAAAACGTGGTCATTTAGGGCTTCAGGTAAAATGTGCAGAACAAATGAAGCCTGATGCAATTGTGTTGAACATACCTAACGTGTCTGGGACCAGGGGAATCATTCATGTATGTCAGAAAGCTCTGTAGGCACCACAGAATCTAGGCCAGCATTTCTCAACCCTTTTTTCATTATCACTGCCCCCCACATTGCCACTCCAGTGAGCCTTTTAGACATTTTTTTTCCTAATCACCACCACCACCTCTCCCGTGAAATTTTAATGTCACAAATACACTGTCATTTGTTTATGTACGATGGCCCCTTAAAGGACTACAAACCATTGTAATATCTAAGGTTGTTTGACCCCTTGGTGGTAATGTCACCTCCACAGAGAACTCATGATTTACTCCACTGTCCCTAATAGTTTTAGCTCCTTTCCCAGCCCCTCTCTTTTTCCCTCAACTTGTCTTTTCATTTGTCATCCCCTCAAACTATGCTCCTTGCTCGACAATAATTAAATGTCATTAAGTAAATCACACATATGAGAGCAATTTTCAAACTGTAAAGGCCTAAGAAAATGTTGGTTATTATTAGCAGTAAAAAAAAAATTGTACAAGTA